TTTATTCGAAGTCTTTTAAACATTTTTAGCAGAGTGATAATAAGCTTTTGAGCTTATGAAGGAGAATTAGCTTAAATGAATAAATATTTTAGCTTAAAACTTCTTGCTTTCTGATCTTTACAATGCTTCTAGGCATTTATTTTGACACCTGCATCAATTTCAATGATACATATAATTTTACAGCCTACTACCACTCATTTATGTACCACACGTGATGCACTTTCTTTCGATACATGATTGACGAGGCAGGTTTTTTCCCCGCAATAGGTTGCCATTTCTTTCTACGGTAGAACAGTTGTCATCCAACCAGGTCTGTCCTGGTGGAGGGAGAAGAAGGGGATCCATACCTTTCCCAAGGGTACTAGCACGTAAGTCAATGTAATGGATTCAACCGGAATTCGAACTTGGCTCTCCGATCTCTCAGACCGAGCCACTATCCATTACTCCACCCTACTCAACACAAAATATTGCTCCATCACCTTTTGTTGTAGCTTTATTGCCATGTAAGGCACATCTTCTAGCCCAAACATTAGGCTCATCTAGTGTTAGATTTTACTAATAATTTCAGATGAGAAATCAATTTTCGCGTATTTTTCACCTTACACTGTTCTCTGCTTGTTATGTTTACAGAAAGGTTGTATTTTAACTGATTCCATGTCTTCAACTAATATGTTATATAGCTTAATATTTCGCCTCTTTTCGCTAGGTTTCAAAATGCCTGCTTCTAAAATGTCTGCTTGGTAATCTGCTTTCCTTGCTTTTAACCCTTGTATTCATTTCTCAAATCTCTTTCATTAATATTCTTCAGGCCTTTTTCTGCTACACCTTTCACGAACCGATCGATTTTTTCCTGTTTTTCTACGATCTGTTTTCAAATTTCTTTGCTAATCTAAAGTTGTGTTGAGTTCCCGCCACTCAATAACTCTCCCATTTCTTGTTTCTCTCTTGAGGTTATGTATTTCATATGAACCATGGCAAAATTTTATAAAATAAAATTATACCATCCTATGTATACTTGTTTACAATAAGTAAGTGCTTATAGATTTCTGCAGATTTTTAAACTTTTACCAAAATATGTTGATAAATGCAAAACATTATTATGAAAATATGATTTGCATAATATAAAGCAACATTATACAAATAGATTTATTTACAGATGTTTATATTAAAGTATTTCTAACATTTTTGTAGTTTTCATTTCTCGTTTAAGGCAAGAATGTAGCTGATAAACATATTGTTTCTAATACTGAGATTACGTCATATCAGTTAAAGGTCAAGACGAATGAAAATACATGAACCAAAAAATAGGAAAATCAAATCCGAGGACAGTTTCGAAACATAATTTCAGTGTCACGATGGAATCATATTTTTAAAAAAATCTACTTCTGTATCGACCAGATTTTTTTTTTATATTTTTTAAATAAAAACAAAAATATTAGAGACCTTCGGATCATCAATCTAACAGTTCTTTCCTATTATATCAAAACACAGGCACACGCACACGCACAAATATATATATATATATATATATATATATATATATATATATATATATATATATATATATATATATATATGTGTGTGTGTGTGTGTATGTATGTGCATGTGTATGTACACGTATGTCTGGGTGTGTGTGTGAGTACATGCCTAAGTGTATGTACCTACTTGTATATGTTTTTTTGTGTGTATTAGTATGTGTTTTTGAACATAGAAATATTTGGTCCTTGCGAAATGAGACAATCGTTATATTCATCTTCATATATTTATATTTGATTTATAACCTGTAGTCTATACTAATTTTCCCAATTACAAAGCGGCCCTTTAAGTAAACACAATTTTATTTTCCTTCGTCCCATCTCTCTCCCCCACCCTTTCTTTTTTTTTTTTTTTCCCTTCCTATCCGAATTGTCTGTGGTGTGTATATGTCACCACGAAATGTATCTTTATGTATTAGACATCCGTCGACTTTCTTTCTCTCCTCTTTTTAAATCCACCCCACCCACATCTCCAAAAACTCTCTCTGTTAAGGTTTCATGTCCCTCCTCCTCATACTTACACTTTCTCTAAATTCTGTTTTGATTTCCGGAGTTGTTTTTTTCTGTTTTCATTTTGAATTTGTAGGTCTGATGATTTGGATCGTATTTACGATTCCAATGGAATAAATTATGACCATGGAATATTAGTGTTTAAGCCTTTTTATTATATCCTTACTCTGTCCTAGACATTGAGTTCTAACTGGATCCTTCCTCTTGGAAAATTTTTTTTCTGAAAATATACATGTATGGGAATTTTTTATATATTTTTCATATGTATGTATATTTTCCACTAATATCTATATATATATATATATATATATATATATATATATATATATATATATATATATATATATATATATATGATGGTAATGGCCATCATCAGGAAAAATAATTTTCTCCTTGCTGGTAGCAGTGATCTACAGAAATGAATGTCTTCATGAAGAAAATGAACTTTTGTCTGTAGTTTTCATTTGTTTTTTTTATTTTTTATCATGAATTTTGGTCAGTTTTGTGTTGGTCAAACAGTCTCTTTTAAGTTGTTATTTAAGATAAGAGCTTGATGGATATATATATATATATATATATATATATATATATATATATATATATGTATGTATGTATGTATGTATGTAGCATTACTAGATACTTGTTTACCTAGAAAACCCATCTACTAAGACGACTTGGCAAACCCTGTTGCAAACACCTGCTCAGAAATAGAGGTGTTTGCTTAACATCCACAAAAAGCAACTGGCGTTCATACAGAAACTATACTGAGCGTGCAGAAGTTATAGTCTCTGTGTAAGAGTGCATAATCTGTCATGACCATTGGTCACAATGTCTTAATAGAAAAATCTCCGACAGCTTTCTATCAGTTCCCTTTGACCGATTAACAAGAGTTGCTAAGGTTTTCAAACGTTCAACTGTTCTACACACATATTTTGAAATATTCCATTAGTGTATCTGTGTTGCAGTTGTGTTCTCCTGGTTTGTTGTGATGGGATTTGTAGAAGTATAATGTCAATTTTTCCTGTTCATTTTCTGTATTTCTTCCTCCAGAAGTTCTTGTTTTCTGTTGGTAATTTTGAATAACTCAAGGAGTTCTTTCATGGTTTTCTTGTCTGTTCACGACATTCTGTCGTGGTAGATTTATATAGGGAAGAGATTATAGTTGTCCCAACGAGAGAAAAGTGTATATATTAAAAATAAGATAGAAACCGAGAGAAAACGATACTTAGATTATTGGTTCATTTTTTGGAAATCTTCATGGGTGATATTAACCAATTCCACATTCTACTTCAGAACTTACAACCCAAAAATCAAATTCACCCAGAAATATAAATTCAACGAATTACCATTTTTAGATATACTCATTAGAAATAAAAGCTACCACATAATAACAGATATCTACCACAAACCTACCGACACCCAACAATATCTTTATTTCAATGGCTATCACCCCAAAAGTTCCTGAAATCCATCCCCTATTCTCTAGCACGTAGGGTTTGTACCCTAGTGACTGATAAACGCCTCCGAAGAACCCGCCTAGAAGAACTACATCGAAGTCTAAAAAAACGAGGCTACCCCACAACACTAATAAACAAAGTTTTTAAACTCGCAAAATATTCCTTTAGACCAACTACGAAATCCTAAGAAATGTAACGTCGAACAAAATATGTCTCAATATGCAACAAGAACACTCCAGAACTATTTCTCTCTTCTTTTTTAATACATACATTTTAATCACACACACACACACACACACACACACACACACACACACACACACACATATATATATATATATATATATATATATATATATATATATATATATATATATATATATGAAATTTAAACTATTTAGGAAAATTAAAAAATAAAGTTGTTTCAAAGATAGAGCCCTCACGAGCTTATGTAGTCTTGCAAAAAGATCTAGAAGTATGGCCATTATGAGAAATTATATTTCACGATTTGATAAGAAAGGCTGAATCAGTTTCAAAGTTCACGCAGAAATAATTTTCATTTTGTGAAAAAGACGCGTATGCCAAACCTTGTCAAATGCCTTCAAAATATCCTAAGCAACAGTTCAATCTTCACCATTCTTCTCTAAATCTTGAGGAATTCTTTCAGCAATAACCGTTAACTCATCCGCAGTTGACATAAGGAAGCAAAGGGCATATTGCTTATCTGAAAGAAGACCCTGCGATTTAAGATGCTTACCTAGTTCAGAGTTTATTGGAGCCTCTAGTACGATGTCAAGAAGAGGTAGAAGTCTAATAGATAAGAAGCATCAGATGGTTCGATGAGTTCTTAAGACTGGAACGACAGAAGAGAATTTTCAACAAGCAGAAAAGGATGAAACGGCAAGACATTTATTGTAGAGTTTAGAGAGAACATCTGCTTCAGGACTATTGCAGGAATACCATCATCCACATGCTTTGTGAGGATCCAGTTTATAAATGATAGCAGAAAACATGGACGGATATATCTGTATATCATTCAACAGAGACTCAGTTCTAATGGGAAAGTGAGACAAAGGTATTCCAGCTGAGTCAAAGGGTAGAATTTAAAGATAATTTACATGCCAGACATTCTGCTTTATCAGCAGAAGATATTAACATCTCAAATTGATTGAAGAGAAGGGGAATTGAAAACTATTCTTATTTAACTCACTATTACAGAGCTGTCAGTGATAGTTAAACGAAAAGAAGGAAAAAAGGCAATTGGAAAATGTCAGAAAAGAGAGGACAAACCGTGGGGAATTAAAAGAAAGAAAGAAAATGATTTGAAGTAAGCGGAAATAAAAAGTAAAAAAAATACGCGTAGAATGTAAATGAAGAAAATCCATAATGAAATATATTAGAAAAAGAAATTATTTTATAAAACTGACGAATCTGCGTATTAATGAAAACATACTTGATTTTAAAACGTTTAATTTCATGTGAAATAATCGCTGTATCAATGTATCTATCTAGTTATCTCTATGTATCCTTCTATGTATCTGTAAATAACATTATCTCTTTTCAAGTGTACTTATTAACAGATATTATCAATTTTGAATTAATCTGAATATTTTCCATTTTTCATCATTTGCTTTCTCTCCTCGTGATAGTTGTAACTTTGTATTTCTTTCCTAAGATTTGCTTTCAATTTTCTCCTTCGTCTCTTATTTTCTTTTCATTGTTTTTTTTTTCTTTTGTTTTCTCTTTATCCCCTTCCATTTCTCTGATATTTTTTTCATCTAACGCATTTTTCCTTCTCTCTCTTTTCTCACTATTGGTTGTTTTCTTTCTTTCATTACTCTTTTATTATGCTTCTCCTCCTTCCCTCTCTTCTTCCTCTTCTTTTTTTGTTTTTAATTCTCTTCGGATTTTACCTTTCTTTATCTTTTCAGTTTCTTTCTACGCTTTAATTTTTCTTTCTCCCTTTTTACTTTCATTTCTCTTTCTTTTCATTTTTTTATTGCATCATTTTGATCTATTTTTTCTTGAATTTTTATTTGCTTCTTTTTCTCTCTTACTCTATTTCCTTCTACTATCTTTCTTCTTTCTTTCTTTGATTCTTTCAATTATTTTTTTCTTTTTTTCCTTTTCTTCGCTTCCTTTGTTTTTCTTTTTCTATTATATACTTGCTTTTTCTCTATTTCATATTTTCATTCTTAATTTTTGCTTCACTTTCTTCTCAGTGCTCTTTCTTTACTTACAGCGTTTGCCAACCACAAACCTACTGTTCCTTGTTTTTATATATGACTTCTCACTTTAGCTCCTCTTTCTTTACATTCATTCAATCTTTCTTCTATGTATCTTTCACTCTTTTCCTTCATTTCTAGTGTCCCCATCCCCATGTCTACATCATTTTACGTCATCGAGATACCAAGTCTATTATTTTCATTTCTTTCCTGGAAATGTTTCTTTATTTAAAATGTTCACCCATTTTGTACATTTGTTGAATATTGACTTTTGTTTTCAAGGAAAACCAATGAAAAGTAAAAACGAAAGAAAAATTTTTAAAAATACCAGAATTAACTTTTTTTTCTGTCACAAAAATATGTAACCAGAGGAAAATTTGAAATCGAAATCTTTTTCAATCACTTTACATGCATTTCTGTGAGAGACACACTACATTTGTAACGCATTCTAACACTTTTTAGGATTCGCTTATCATTTCTGTAAATAATGATTTGCATTCATTATATTTTTTCTTTGAAAACTTCAAGATTTTTTTGTGTGAATATCAACTTATGATTTATTTCTTTTTTTGTTCAAGTATCTTTTCGAAATTAAACATTAAAAATGTCAATTTTGTTTATTTAACTTATCAAGAAGCAAATTCTTCGATCGAAATGATTACTTTGCCTTTCAATTTCGAAGACAGTCTGACAGTTTTTTGTTTGCCTCTTTATGTAAGGTGCTTGAAGATGTCAATAAGTTGCTGACGTCATTTTTGTCAGACGAAAATCTTTTATATCATCAAATAACATAACGTACAAAGTTCGATGAATCAATTCGCTGCAAACTATTGGGGACTTTTTAGCCAGGTTAACGCTAGATCGTCTTTCTTTTCTTCTACAACTACATAGAGCGATACACACAAAATTATTCTACTTGTTTCAATTCATTTTAACAATTTTAAATTTTCTTTAATGTCATGTCCCTTCAGGACGTAGGCACGATAACTCAATACAATTTCTACTTGATTATTTTCTGTGTATTGTCAGGCATTCTTGGGAAAAATAGTGGATTGGCTTTTAATTGTCTTTCCACGGTTAAGAATTCATAAGAAAGACCAGATTAGCACATGCAGGTTATTCATGGTTTTACCAAGGTTATTTATGCGAACAAGAAGCCTACTAGAAGAAGAGTTTGTAATTATATATATATATATATATATATATATATATTAGCACCTCGGCTTGCTGTAATGGTTAGCAAGCTTGTCTTGCTTGAATAATTAAGACTGAGTAGTGGATGCCTCAAACGTTCGGCCTTGTGCCACCATCTCTCTATATATATATGAAGAAATATAATTTTAAGGTGTGTTATATTTAAGAGATAAAGTGCTCAATATCAGAGATAGAGCATATGTAAATATAAAAGTGAACATTGAAATATATATATATATATATATATATATATATATATATATATTAAATCGAACATTGACATCAAGGTTCAGAGGCGATAAACCACGTGGACTGACGATTGTGCATAGTATAAAACAGTTTGTCGCCTCTGAACGTTGACTTCAACGTTCGGTTTAATATATATATATATATATATATATATATATATATATATATATATATATGTGTGTGTGTGTGTGTGTGTGTGTGTGTGTGTGTGTGTGTGTGTGTGTGTCCTTGAGTACGTCTTTAACTCATAAGTCTTTGGGTCTAAACACTAGATCTAAGCAACATCTTTATCCACTGGGCCATGTGTAGGTTAGATCCAGTGACTAAACCCAGAGTTTTGAGTTAAATACCAGGCCACAGCGAAAGTGAACCAAAACTTGGCGAGCAGAGTTAAAGGGAAATAATTGAGGTATCTGGAAGAGGCATGGCACGTGGAATTAGAACAGTCTACCTCGATGGACGAAATAAAGGGTACGGTTCGAAATTCCAATCACCTGAAGGCCGGAGCGTACAACGACCGAAACCATGTGAATATGGAAATGAAAATGAGGAAAAGAGTCCCGATAATGTTAATAATTCTAGTAATCATAACACCTAAGGTTAGCGATATAGATAGAAGCCCAATTTATGTCTATTATTTTCAAACAATTTTAATGTTCGCCATATTATTATTATTAGTAGTAGTAGTAGTAGTAGCTTGAAAAGTGAAATCGGTGAATCGATTTCAAATTCCAGCCTGTCCTGCTTCCTTCGTTTTCACATAATCCACACGGAAGGCATGAATCCGTTTCTTACACAGCTGCAGGGTGGATGGAAGGGTAGACGGTGCTGTACTGCTTCGTGGGGTAACCACTCTGAGAGAATAAAGTCTTTGATTTTATTTTTTTTTAGACATATCGCTCCAAGGAAGGATGGAGTGCCACTAGCACACAAGAGGTTATAAAAATAAAAGTGAGAATAAAGAGGGGGGTTTGAGGAAAGGATAAAGAGAAAGACAGGGATCAAGATTAAGGCATCAGAAGATGTCGATTGACATTACATTTGAATATTTGCAGATTATAGCTATCAAGGAAGCAAGTAAGAGGAAGGGTGTTCCACTAAATGGGAAGCGTGAGTTGAGAAGAGACAGCTACATTTAACCGTTTCGATAATGAAAGAGTGGGGCCGAAATGCCAGCCTAGTAGCACGCTTAAATTCATGCAGTTGGAGTACCAGTGAAAGTACCTCGTCAGAGCAGTTGCCATGAAAATATCTGTAGAAAAGACAGAGGGAAGTCATATCACGTCTATAAGAAAGTGTCTGTAAACAAGATATCAGATCAGGACCTACCATATTGCATATCCGTCTTTCGTATACCGTGGGGATTTAAACGGAAAGCTTTTCCAAAAAGGATTATAATTCAGATTTAATAAAGAGGAATCAACAAAAAGCTACGATGACCGACGCTGAGAAAATAAATAGTAGTTTTAATAGTAATAATTATTATATGTGATCAAAATATGATGATGGTATATAATTGATTTTGAGACTGCATTTTTTATATTTTTAATATGAATAAGCTATGATTTTTATATAGTTAACTAATGTCGCCTGTATTAAAGAATTCATTTTAATATGCAATTCGGCTTTGTTTCCTTTCAGTGTAAATTGAAACTTTCAAATTATAAAGAAAAAAATACTTTTTACTTCTCTAAAGAGAAAATATCCGAAGAAGGTCGACACTAAACGAAAGAACTACAAAGTAATCTACTAACAAACTGTTCACACTGATATACTAATTAAATGCTCCATTCTTAAGGCAAAACTGGCATATTGGATTGTTGTAGCTGATTATCAAATCATTCTACCATAAAAATTGAATATCTCTTTATTAGAGAGATCAGATTATCTTTTTTAATGATAAATTCACCTCATACAATGCTCGTGAGCAACTAAAGGTAGAGCAATGCGATTAAAATGTAGATGGTGTATTATATGAATGTAAAAAAGATGTGGTAGGAAAAGAAGATTATGACGATAAGGAGGATAGATAAACACTGATGATTAACTTGAATAGGTTAATTCTGTCATGCTCAGGAAAGTATCTACATAGGTATATGTTCCACAAATTAGCATATATTATAGAAATGCTGAGTGAAAATGTCTCCTTATAATGAGAATATTTAGGGAATGAAAATGATTCGACAATATAGAGTTATGTCATAGCTCTAAAAGTTTGATTTGAATTTCATTTGAACATTTGCCATAGAAATAGACAGAGAGCAATGGTAGGTTTCGAAGCAATAAATATATAATGTCATATTCTGTTTTATATTATATAATAGATCATTTTTATTTGGAAATCTGTTCAACGAATTATTTTTGCTTTAATTATGATGCCACTTCCGGTCTGTGAGAGAAGCGAATAGTAACGGCCATATTGCCTACGGCCGACAAGAAAAAGGAAAGGAAATGCTTTAGGCGAAATCAACCGTATTGATTTTGCTTTTATTACTTTTTTATTTCTTTGCTGAAATACATTTTTTAAATTCCCTTTGGCTAAGCAAAAACGAAAGACGGCGATTTAACAGCAGAGCTGACACGCTTATGGTAAAATGAGTCGCTGAGAGGCGAAATGATCGCGCCTGATCTCCTATGCGAAATATATTCATTGTAACCTTAGCTCTCAGAAATGATTTGAATTCACTGAAAAATAAAACAAATTATACTCCATCCCTCTCACTCTTCTCTCTTTCGCCACCTTCACTCTGTCTCTGTCTCTGTCTCTGTCTCTCTCTCTCTCTCTCACTCACTAAGGCGATAGGAATTTCTTCTTCGAAAAACTTATCCGACAAATCTGAAGAAATACTATGCTATATCATTACATATTTGTAAATAACAGAATCCTTCCTCAGAAAAAAAAAATACTAAAAAGTATAAACTAGAGCATACCAATAGAAATTCATAACGTCCCACAAACGAAACTATCTGCAGTTCACAATCTTCCAAATTAGAATCTGTGTTGTCCCATAGGCAAAATAAAACGGTTTTGAACTTGGAGATCAGGTTGCTTCCCGATTCTTTTCGCATGTATTAGGTGATTTATTCAATTTTATTTTATTATAATTATAATTTTATTTCCATTCATTTATTTATTTCTCTTTTTGTTTTGACTCGATATTTCTTTCTTTTGCACACCTCAGAATATGTGTCGCACTTCTCGCAAAAAGAAATTGAAAATCGCTATAGGGCATAGACCTAAAAGCCTCAGGAGACAAACATCAATATTAGCTGCATTATGACAACTCACCTTGCATATTATGATTAATAGGTGCTGTACATGACTTTAGTAAAACACAAGACTATCATCTGACTTGCTATTTTCTCGATATAGGACTTTAAATACGCTAATACAAACTCAAACACTCAACTATAACGATTATTATTATTATAATTTTTATTTTGTTTGATTTCTGGCGTTTACACATTTCTTTCCGGGTCCCGCCCAGGGACCTAAGGTTAGAAATGGCATCATGAGACTTTCCACAAAAAAAAATATTACATAGATAAAGGCCTTCGTAAAGTGTGGGCTGTACTTGTCAGAACAAATTTTGTATCTCCATGAGGCATGGACTTCCAGTTATCCCTTCAA